TATCGGTGCATCTCAGGAGGGATGCCATCTCAAGAGTAGTAAAAGGTTGTAGGTGGTTTTGACACGATTTAACGCTACAAGTGAAGGTAATGTGAGTTCCTTGTGTTGGAAGACATTGTCCGTAAGATATTAATCGAGGTAGAATATACGCATTATAGTGATCTCAAGGCCTCCAAATGTCGATTTCACAATGGTTCAAACAAAGTGAGTGAGAGACAATATTTCATNGTATTTGCTATGAAAGTTTGACCAAAACATATCATGCAGTCGGTAAATTTCGAGCGGGATTACCGGAACAGTTTCATGAATACGCCGTTGGTGCTAGTATTGATAGGTTTAAACAGCTGACAGAAAGAACAATAACTTTCTAAGCGACCATTTTCGGAGCCAGGAAGTTCGAAGGATCACGTTAGTGATTAACAGGTATGGGACAAAAGGAAATTTATTACCACTTCTGATTATTGAAATAAAGTTTATATTCCTGATGTTTCTGTGGTATTAGACGTGCAATTACAATTTTTTTAAGAAAATGCAGAGCGTTTCCAAAGTTGACCTTTGATGACAACCGCATAATGATCTCTTAAGATCGCTCAATTTTGCCATGCTGAAATAGGAAATTGGTAAGACTATCTTTAAACCGTTGATCAATGTTACAACCAATGGATTATGATGTTAAATGATCTTTGGAATTTTCATTCTGGAAATAACAACTACAATGCGTATTGCCTTTGTTAGGGGATGAGCAATCAAAAGCTATGTATTGATGAATGTCTTCCTGAAGAAACAAAGACCTGAAGCGCATCTAAAGACGCTCTATCGAATTTCATTGGTAATTTTGGGATAAAATATATACTAATTAGCGCAAGCATCCCAACGAAGAGGAAGAGTGTGAAGTGATGCATGCACTGGACTATAGGTCAGTCACAGAGATTGAGAGATCACATAATTGGTTTTAGCAATTTGTCTTATGGACTAAATTTCGGGTCGAATACTCGATTGCGACGTTCATAGGTTGCAACCTGAAACGATATTCGGTAATGCTTTAAGTTGATGTTGGCACAGTTTCTGGACTCTCTTTTATGCGTGTCCGTCTAATCACTCATAACTTGGAGTCGTTTGTGAGACAGAAACTGTAAACGCAGTCGTTGTGCTTTTCGAACGTTTTGAATGAGCAAAACCTATCAGAGTCGTTTCAACTCATACTTCTTGCTCATCAGATTTCTTCTCTCCGTTTAAAAATAAAACCCCAACTAACCGGTCAAGGTAATAGAAACGCCATTCCGAGAAATTCAAACGAGAAGCTCGCCAACCGAACTTGCTAGGCTTTCAAACATTACCGCTTACCTATTGGTTCGCTCAGGTGAAATGAAACTAGCCATAGGGAAACGAAGTGGTCTTTTCAGTTACCCAAAAAATCCGGTGATTTACCACGCATTATTGATCTCTACCGTTCATTGGACTGCTTAATATGTTATAGTACGACCAGCACAAGTGGATCTAATGACTTCTCAGCGGTTCACAGAAAAAGCGACTACTAAGTGATTGTGACTTTGTTTTCGATACCACCGTCCACTAATCACTGTGAAGGGAGAGTGGGAGACTTGCTCCGTATTCATCAAGTCAATCTCTGTCCTGAAAAGTTTCATCGCCGACTGATATAACAACAACAACAACAGAGCACTTATCATGGTACAGTGTCATTCTGCATTTGCACTATGAACCACTTGTGGCATTTATGCTATTCCTTTACTAGTACTTGAGTTTAAATCATATCGTTAGTTTACACAAGAAAGAAGATTTTTTTACTTTACTGTTGGGTTACTACAGATCTTCTCCCTCTGTCCTTTTAAAGGCTGCGTCCATTGCTAATATTGATAATTCACCGACCAACGTTTTTCGGTCTGATTTCAACAGAGCTCTTCAAATCACTGAACAACCCAAGGAGCGTGACGGATCCGCTCTAATATCTCGACAAATATGCGAAAATTCAACTGCATAAGTGGTTGACTCGACTACTTGCAATGGATGCTCCTGCGGTACTGTGGTGAGTCATACCTTCTCCTGCTCCTCAATTTGATTTTGTCGTTGTTCGTGCATCTATCTGTTCAGTCAACTTGATCCTTCTACTCTATCAAGTTGTCACATATCCAGTGAGCGAATCAATGGTTACATAACATCAAGGTTAGTGTAGATTCGATCTAATCTACTGTCAAAGACAACAATTTTCTCATGTTCAATTCTCAAGGCAATATCAAGAATGAAAATGGCAATTATAAATACCGACAGTTTCTCTAATTACCTGAAATGATGCATCCCTGGTGATGCGTGATTTCTTGTATTAATCTGTTCTGTGAGGGATGGAATAGTCTGATGATTCCCGAATCCCGATAACCACAGGCTAACTCAATATCCGGGTCCAGTTGACCAGGCACTGATTTCAAAACCACACTCGTGAGTTTTTCGCCTGGGCTCGCCAAGTCGAATAGTGGACTGTCTACGGTGGGCAAACACGGCGATTCCTCTTCGTGCTGTGTTCCGTCCGGCACGATATTCGCGTTAGCAACAGATGTCATTTTCCATATGCGCATTGATCTGATAGCGGAAAATAAGGAACACGGGGTTTTTCATTTAGATATTGAAATGGCCACCGGGAGTGAAGACAACACAGGCCTATCTAGCCAGCAGTCAAGTAGAGATACTACACATAAATGATCGGTTGTAGCAAAATATAATTTCTCTTGCTCACGCAAAACTGAGTCGTGTAAACAATTGTTGAATATCTTGTCGAATTCATTGGACGATTGCGGGAAAATCAATTGTATCCAAAGATTTAGAGGAGGGTGTTCATGTCAGAACGAGCATCGTAGCTATGTAGTTCCTGTTTCGATCAGGAAGGTCGTCATAATTTACCTACTGGTCAGGGAGGATTTCGTAATATTTCGCTTGTAAAAATGTCGCAGACTAATTTCTTTGTTATAAAGAGTTTTATTCTTTGATTGGTTTGGTACATATTCGGAATAGGGACAAGTATGTGAAATATAAATAAATATAGTATAAAATTGGATCCTGATAAGCAATGTGAGCCTGATGAGCTCGACATCAGATCATCAAACACAGAATTTTCGGGTGACGAAATTGAGCGTCCTAATAGGATGTTTCGTTAATTTGTTTTTTTACGATAGTCAGTTAAATCCCCCAAAAGGATCACAAAACCCACATTCTGAACCTCTAATCAAGGCCATTACAAGGATCAACTAAGACAGTCATTTTGTTATCACCATCATAAGAAAGAGGAAAAAGAT